TGGATAACTTTAATTTGAGTTAAAATAGGATTTTTTTTAATATTTATATAATTTATATTTTAATTTTTTTTTAATATTTAAATATTAATTTTAAGATACCAAATTGCATTAGGATTTAAATTTGTGGGCCGTTGTCGCACTGAAAAGAATATATTTGAAATGGCTTCTTATTGTAAGAACTTTATTAATTTACTTCTACTTGATTAAAATCAAAAGCTATTACTTATTAAAGACTTAGAAAATAATTGGATGTATGATGAGTGGCGAATACAATTTATTGATGCTGATCACCTTCCTCTTAACTCTAATGGACGAAATCTATTAACTACTAATAATTTTACTGAAAGAATGAATCGAACAATTGAATCACAATTATCAGAAAAGCAAATAGTTGTTACATTTATTGAATAACTTTATAGAATAAAATTACTACATAAAAATCTCCATCCTGAAGGATCCAATAAAAATATTTATGAAGCTAGATTGGTTACTCTTTTTAATGCATAATCAATTGAGCAGGTAATAATTTTGTACTATTAATATATGGGCAAATATATAGCAAAACTATGCTTAAAGTGTATATAATATATAGACTTTAAGCATAGTTTTGTTATATACTTATTATATAATTTTTATTTTGTGAACTTAAATATTTATAATATTGATATAATATATTAATTTATATTATAGCAAAATGAATCTAGTAAAATAACACCTACCATAAACTGATGTTTAAACCATGGAAGGCTATATTTTCTGATAGGTTTAGTTGAACAATCTAGTTATTCAAATTACTATTATATTAAAAAACTCCATAAATCAGATATTATAATTAACTCTTTTAATAAGGGTATAGACATTTATTAGGTGATTTGAGCTTAATAAGAGGCCTACGCTCCTCCCCCCCACCTGATATAATATAACTAAAATCTGATTGGCTGATTTATTAACTATAAAATTGTATAAAAAATTTTTATTAATACAAGCGTATATTATATGTAAATAACATGTACACAAACTTTAAAATCTTGTTTAAAAATATATACAAAAAACTTTATATATATAAAAATAAAATTATAATATGTGCAAAGCACCAATTATTTTTAACAAAATATGTGTAAATTTAAGTTTATATGCACTGCACCTACTGCGCATATTCAATTTACAACACTGTCCAGAATCGAGTTTGAAACCAGATTTATATTAATTAGTAATTTTCTACTTCGTATTTAAATCCGATTTATTAAATTAAAATTCGAATTTATTCCAACAATTACTTGGTCAAATTCAATTTTATAAATCAAATTCAAAGGAAATCGAATTTAAATTCGAAGGTCAAATCTGGCTCCAAACTCTAATAAAGAACAATCACTTAATATTAACATTTTTTATTATTAAAATAAAAAAAAAATTTTATAAATAAAATTTTAAAATTAATTAAATTTAAAACCTAACAATTCTTAAATCTAACTATATATTATAAATATGCGTAGACCCACCATGAATTAGACCCAGGCACAAACCACGGAATCTTTGTTAATAATAAGTGGTTTTTGCAAATAAGCTGCCTATGTATTATAAATACAAACTGAGTCTATTTTTCTTCTCATAATATAATCTTTTGTTGCTTATTATACCCAGATCTTGTATATGTACATTTGTGATAAAAGTGAACCATTGCGCATTCATATGCATATATTCATGTACATGCATTTAAATACATTCATGCTACATTGGGGCTTCCGATATACTAATTAATCAAAAGTAATCCAGTAGCACAGATTTGTGCATAGATCGGCAAAATCGTTAAATTCACTAACAAAGACTAGTATTTAAAAATTGATTCATCTTGCGTACCAACTATTTTTCTTCAGCAATTTTCTAACATATTAAACTAGTCGTTTTGCGCATAAATTGCTGGAAAAAAATAGTTGGTACATAAGATGAATCAATTTTTGGATACTAGTCTTCACTAGTGAATTTAATAATTTTGCCGATCTATGCACAAATCTGTGCTACTAGATTTTACTACAATACCTTACATAGTTTTGATTAATTAATATATCGGAAGCCCCAATGCTGTACATATATATTTCATTCGTAGTATTTAAGCATGAAGTTATTCAATCTGCATTTAAAGTCGAAAATTATATCTTAATCCTGGATCTAAAGTATAAATAAAAATATTAGTCATTTATAATAGAAAAAAGCTAAACGTTATAACATTATACTTAAATTAATATAACAGTATATAAGCAAGCTTAATGATAGTAGTCTGGCACAGAATTATAATTCAAGTCCACTATCAAGAAATCAAGTAAGCTTAAAATTAATTTCGAATATGATTAAAACAATCTGATCATTCTAACCTATTATTCAATGATAACTTAAATTGGAAATGACTGACCAATTCTGAATCTTTTAGTTTTGGCATAAGATTTTTTGGACTAAAATGTAATTAAAAGTAGGATTCTGCAAATGTCACCATGGTACTGCTGAAAACCAGTGCCGAGCACAGGGACAGATACTATATTACTAGTAATATCACGTCTAAAACTTGCAGAACTCTGATAAAATACAAACCAAAAAAAAAATCATTAGTACATAAAAGAAAATAGTAAGCCAAAGCCGTGGATAACAAGAACAAAAGAAAGCCATACCATGCGCTTGGGTGGAATAAAGCAATGCAAAAAAAAAAAGTAATTTATACTTAAAGAGAATAGCAAGTTAGAGCTTCATAGATGATAATAATATATGTAATTATGTTAAAAAAAAACCACGATTTATTAGTGTAAATATAATAAAAAAAAAATAAATAAATAAAAATGTTTATCATAATATGATTAAAATCCCCACTTGTTATCTTAGATCATTTCTAACTTGTAAAGACCTTTTTATTTGTTAAATGCTAAATTGCTTACAAGCACTATTAAAAATTGAATAAAAATATTAAAAAATGCAAACATTTTTTTCCACTCCAAAATTTAATAAAAAGTATATTTATAAAAATCCTCAAAATACTTTTCATAAATTTACTAATGCATTCGCCTATTATAAAATGGCTTCGTTAGGTTCTGCGTCTCTTGATAAAAAAGTTTTATGTGAAAATGTAATCATGAATAGAATTTAGTTAAAAAACTTTCTCAAGAAGAAATTGAAGACAAAATATTTAATTATTTAAATACTCCAGTATAATTGCAAGAATGTGTAATGCACGTTCCAAGTAGACAATCCTTGCTATCACAATCGTCATCATCGTCGTTACCACTTGAACCACCAAAATCTGATGAACCAATCTCCTACAATGCCATAGCACAGAAAGAAGCTTTTGCTAAAAAAAAAGAGTTAAAAAAAGAATTGGTCGAATTACAAGCTATGGCAAGAATTACTACTAATTCTGAATATTATAAAACTTTTTCTTCCCAGGTTTCTGATATACAAAGAAGTATTAAAAGTCAAGATGATCGGTTAGATAAACTAAAAAGACACGCGGCAAGTCAAGAAAAATCACAAGAAAAAAAAAAAAATTACTTGAGGAAGAGCAATTGGTTATAAGATATGATTCTCCTGGCTGTCCACCCTTGCTTTTCCAATACCCCGACCTACATGACCACATACATTCCTGTATTGAATTTGGAGAGGCTAATGCTTAAAGGCGGCGTGAAATCATCAAAGTCAGAATAATTAATCACCTTCGTACCATATTAGAAGAAAAGTACAATGAGTATTTGTCATATACAACTACACAAAATTATATTCTGCCCTGAAATAATCGTAACCTTTCAGCACGAGCTCACCACCATTCAGCTTTAATTGGAATTGCAGGAGTTAGTAGAAATGAAAAACGAGATCATGTTGACAGGCACTATTGTTTGGTGTCAGTAAAAAATACTAGAAACTTCACTTCTGTCTTTGCTGACCAATCTGTTATGCTATCGCAAAACAACAAAGCAAAAGTGTCTGTTGGCATTCCTGCTGTAGGAAAACATTTCGAGACAATGCAAACAGTTCACGAACCTGTGTCAGTATCTGATCATAATTTTCTAATCGGATCTTCCCAAAAATTAATATCATCCATCTATTTGATAATCAATCCAAAGAAAACTGATAAATCATTAAGAGTTAGTTAAATTGCAATTTTTATTAGAGCACAGTGGCATCTTGGTTCTTCTTTTGCCACTCACATGGCAGATATCTTATCGTTGGTTGCTAATGAAAGGTTTGATAGGTTTTCAGGTTAAAATGTCTTTTTTTTTTATATGATTAAAAACAGATGATGATTGATATATTTAAGTCTAGATTTAACAATTCGAACTTCAATCATCACCTGTTTTAAATTATGCTTTAGCCTGTTTTTTTTTTGTTTTTTTTCTCTTTATTTTATTTTATTTTTTATTTTTATTCTTTTTTTATTTTTTATTTTATTTTTATTTTTATTTTTTTTGTTTTTTATTTTTATTTTTATTTTTACCATTCCTATTTCAGGTATAAAGATGAGGTCAAACCATTGTGGGTTCTTCTGGTTGATGGTGGGCCAAATGAAAATCCGCGGCATTTTAAAAATATAATTCAATATTGTAAGTTATTTTGCTATCTAAATTTAGATTATTTAACAATTCGTACTCACACTCCAGGCCAGTCAGCATACAACCCTGTCGAAAGGAGTATGTCATCATTATCAAGAAAAGTCCTGGAATTACTTTACCAATTAATCATTTTGGAAACCACTTGGATTCTTAAAGAAATGTGCAAAATTATGAACTTGGACTTCGAAATTTTCACCATGCTAGCCAGACCCTTGCTGATTTGTGGCGGAGAGACCCTATTTATGGAAGGCCAGTTTTTGTTAAGTATATTGATAAACAAATAAATCCTTTTTTAAATATATTATCTTTAATAAATGAAGATGAGTTAGAAGAAAATAAGAAAGATAATGAAGACAATGATAAAAATAATGATGAATTCTCTGTGCCATGGTCTTGGATAGAAAATCATTGTATTATCTGTCAATATTCCTTGGGTATTCGAAAATGTGATGACCCATCATACTGTTCTCCTAAACGGGCTGAGAAGGCTGCCACATTATTAAGCATAAACAATGGGTTTTTGCCTCCATTAATTAAAGAAAAGGATGGTCACTACTTAAATGCAATTCATACTTTAGAATATTTTGATTCCATCAAGATTCCAATATATGATGCCCACCTCCCATCTTTTTCTGCAGAAAACTATGCTAGACGCTGTTGTACTATCTGTAAAAAATACTTTCCTACACTTTTTTTTCTTACCAAACACCAAAGATTTACACATCCTAGTGCTAGGGGTAGACGATCAGGCAAACCTCAACTTGAAACAAATTCAGCTATTGTCGAAGACTTTTCTATGCCTTCATCTTCAGTTAGAATATCTGA